AAATAATATTTTGAATTAAACTTTTTCAGTCAATTAAATGAAATGGTGTCAATATTTTCAGCCAGTATTCTTTTAGAATGATTTGATGTACTTGTGTTGTTCAATGTCAGTCATTCTTTTAAAACTCAGATGTTATGACTTTGCTGTTATACGTAGATGATTAGCTTTATTTTACTTTATGCAATTTGTGTTGGGTCTTGGTTTGATCATTGTCCTCTGACATTTTGTGTTGTACTGTTACTTGACCAGGTCGACATTGTAAACGAGAACTGCTTCTCAACCGACTTGCCTGTTAAAATAAAGGTTTATTATAGTTCCCACTAGGGCTGCACAATATATCGCAAATGTGTCAATATTCATATGGCAAAAGACTGCTTGGAGTGCAATAATGTGTTTGGAGAGTTTTGAATTTGTATTTTTCAAGCTAATGCAATATTTAGCAAGTAGGACAGAGTTTCATGGCAGCAAAAGCTCACACCAGACTTTGCCAAAAATGCTAAAAGTCACAGAGTAGGACGTAAAGATTAGAAAGTGAGGAAAAAAAAAACAAATCATTGCACCTGATATCATCATCTCAATATTTACAGATCATCACATCATCACCATCACAAGATTCTCTAATATCGTGCAGCCGTAGTTCCCACATGACGTCACACTTCCTTCATCGGGACTGCCGGCGCCATTTTGATAGTGGAAAAAAATGAAAGCAGCTTTCTCAAAACAATAGAACAGTGGTTCCCAAAGTTAGGGCCAGGACCCAAAGTGGGGTCCTGAAACATAAAGGTGAGGTCCTATAAAGATTTTCTGAATTAATTAAACTAAAAATGAAAATTAACAATTTTTTGCCTTTGTTACAAAAGAGTAATGCTAGTGTACTTACAATGGACAAAAATTGCGTAATGAATATTGTTACTATGCCCTTGTTTATTTGACGTGAAAACAGCATTTATCAACTGTGGTGGCACGATCTACCAAGAATGCAGAAACACGTTGGAATAATACCAGAAAAGTCTGCGTGTATGATAATCAAATATGGTTTAATTATGAGCGACAAACAAACAGAACTGAATCAGGAAGGTTCTGCATGCTTGCGACTGAACTCGTCGGCAGACTACAGCCAGTAATATAACATCATGTTAACACCATGTGACAGTTTACAACCARTCACAGATTGCCAAATATACTGTCCAGCACATGACTGGGCTCCCAGCCCAAAGGGTCTCTTATCGACCAAGAGAGTTCAGTCCGTTGTGGACTCCTGACGTCTGGAAACAAACGGACTACGAGAGCGAAATGAGCTATCAGAAAGATACGAGTGATGGACAGTGTCAAGGTGAAACAGTTATAAATAATTAGTCCATGACACAACCAACAACAGATGGGGGCACAGGTCTCTGCTGCTGGTATTTTGTAAGTCAAAGGCTGAAAAGTTTGGGAACCACGGCTATAGAATATGTTATTGTCTGAGCTTTCCACTCCACTGCATGAGTAAGAGAATTTTGATAGTTGTATATTGTTGGATTCAAGGTTGTGAAAAAAGGCAAAAAGCCATTAAAGCAAAGTTTTGTTATATACCAAGGATTAAAAGTAGCAAACATGAGCTAATTTAACAAGTGTGGCCAGCTAATACACAGAAGTTAGGAAACACACCATCTAATACTGCATGGATTTGCTTCAATCCCGATTTCAGCAGTAAGGACAATATCACATTTCTAAAAATAGAATAGAATAGAATAGAATAGAATAGAATAGAAATAGCCTTTATTGTCCCGCAGTGGAGAAATTCAGGTGTCACAGCAGCATCAGTACAAAGGTTCACACACTGGTTACTTTACAAACTATAGATAGTACACACAAAACAAAATTAACACATACTAGCCATGATGCAACTACTAATAATAAAATAAAAATATTATGTGAAGAATTGAAAGAAAAAAAGAATAAAAAAATAAGAAAGAAATAAAACTGATCCTGATTGTCAATCAGTCAGAATAAAGACTCGAACTGAACGCCAAGTGATTACATCTAAATTAATAAACATTTCTGTTCTGGTAAATATGTTCATATTTAAAATCTATATGCATGCTAATTTTAGAGTAATAAAAACCAACAGTTTTACAGTTTTGCTCTTTAGTTTTAGTGTTACATTTTTCACCAGCCACTGCTTTGGTTGAAAGTATCTAATGACTTTAAGGATTGTTGTTTATTTATATTGTCAGCGCCTATTTTTTTGTAAATTAAATAATTAATAGTGTTGATGACACTGACTGCCAGTAGCAAGTCCAGTTTGTCATACATGTAGCCTTTGAACATCCTTGTATTTCAATAACAGCAAATCTTCCATTTGTGGCTTTTTAATGACAAACTATTGTGTCTGTAACGCGATTTAACCTGTGATGAGACCATAGCTCACACGAAGAACAAAGCCTTTGTAACACTGCCCATGAAGCTCAGACTTTACCCAACGATTATCAAAATGTCCAGCTTTTAGTTTGACTCTGAAAACTCTTTAGAACTCAAAATTTCTCATTCATTAGCTGTTACAGTATAGATGCAGGCCCAAATCATGAAACTACCACCACAGATGGGTGAAATCTTATTCAATTTTAATTGATGTTTTGACAGTAAACTTGTGAACAATAATATAATTCCATGTGAAAAAGTGATTTTGACCATTTTGAGTTACTCTGGGTTCATTTGTGACCTAATGTTTGACACACCTACCTGGGGGTGGTTATCAGTGTTCCGTTGTTAATCCCATTTATACATCATTTTTAGAACACGGCTTCCTAGGCTCATTTTCCAGGTTGATGAGCATCAAAAGCTGTATTATTTGTGCCGCAATGTGSTTCGACAATATGTTTTGAAGATCAGGTTTTTATGGGCATATGTGCTTTAAATAGAGACTAAACAGTTACCATAGAGTTTTGCAACATTTTATCTTTTGTTTTTTAATTGACAAAATGTCTCACAGGAAATTTTTAGTCTAGATGTCAGTGATCCTTCCAGCTGCTGTTTATGAAATAAATGAAAATCAGAGTGTTTTTGGTAATAGTTTTGCAGAAATGCAGACAAAATCTTAAGCTTTATCACCACGGGCAGTCATCAGTAAGTAAACATTTTGTAACAATAGCTAGCAGAGATTCCTGTCTTTTTTTGCAGCTGAAAATAACATATTGTGAGGCTTTCGACAATTGAGGAGTTTCAGTGTTGGAAAGGCTTTATTTGCAGATGTCAAACAGGAGAAATGATTGCAGCAGTATCATTGGGCACCATCCAAAATGTTTTCATAAATCAGCCAAAAATCTAAACCCTCTGTAGAGTGATCTAGCAGACTGAGAAGGAACTGACGGTCGTAACATTTATTTGTTTCGGTTCCTCTGAAACCTGTCTGAGTTGTGACAGATCAATAAAACGTTTTTGACAGAGCGGTCTGCTCATTGCTTGACCTCTTCGCTGACGCAAACGGTTCCTGGTTTAGGTTGGCTGCACACAAACCTGTGATGGTTACTTAGCATGAGTTCACGTGGTTTGAGTAAGCTTTTAGAGCATATAAATAATGACACAAATTCAGAGTTTTATGGTGTTTCGTGCACAGCTGCAACCATGCCAATGGTTGGGAACCCAAATTATTTCCAACATACACCGTCGCCATATTCAGCTCTGTTCCGACTCTTTTTCAGGATGTCCTTCAGTGTTTGCCGCAGGATATTTTAAATCCTCTCTAAGTTTTGTTGGTGGAAGCAGTTTTGTTTGCATCTTGGGACAACAGCATCACAGTCAAGGACAAAAACGGCTTACCTTTGATTTGGGAACTTCTCTTAAGCCCCTTAGAACTGATAGTAGAAAATAGCATCACAAGCTGCTTAAGATAATGGACACAACACCCTCTGCAGAAAATAATGGTGAACCATAATCAGTCAGCTCCACTGCAGAAAAGACAGAATGTCATTTTCAATGTCTTTACCCAGATACATTTCTCATATATAATTTTTACTGACTTGTCATTTCCTGCCTAATTATCAAAGTGCTTTCATTTCCATCTCATTCTAAATAGGTTTAAAATCTTTTTTTTTTTTGTCTGATCCTTTTCTTCCTGCAGGGGTTTTGTATCTTTTGGAGGCCGATCCTACATGTTGGAACCGTGCACAAATTGCTCCGATGGGACTCACTGGATCTACTCAGCAGAACACCTCAGTTTTGTTTCCGGAACCTGTGGTCACGATTTCAACATATCCCACCCCGCTGTGCTCGCAGACAGTGGTCCGTTCAAGGCCTTCAGCTCAAGAGTAAGGATTTTTTTTTAGATGTTTTTTTTTACGTATTTTTTTTCTCTCAATGGAGAGTAGAAAATGTGAGGAAATAAGGAAGCTGACTGATGAGGAATCACAACAAACTCAATGTATATATTGAGAGACCCCCACATGATGATAACAAATCATAGATAAAACAGGTTTAGTCCTACAGTGTGTGGTGTCCAGTCACATGGCAAAAGACAGCACACCACACAGATTTCTCTCACGAAGAGTCAGATGCCAGACGGTAAATCTCGTGAGATCAAACGTGAGTTCAGACTAAACAAGAATGGTGATTGTGGAATATTTTTAACAGAGAAAAAATACAACAAAAAGACACTGGACTTTCCGATGCTCCATGGCAGTTGTTTTATTTTCTGTATTTTGGATTCCACCCCGTGTTTCCCTCACTTTGCTTTCTGATTGGCTACGCGTCACAGTCAACAGCTTGTTTGTCCTCGGGGGAACACCACACACACTAGGATATTGGGCCAAGACAATYCAACATGTTGAATATCCCTGATTTAAGGTCAGAGTGGTCTCGACGTCCCTCCAAGCTGACTCACTCTTAACACAYCACACACAGCAGGAATATCTAAGATTATCTTTCGAGCCATCATGATTATTAAGATTGGGCCAAAAATCCCCTCATCTTGTTGTGAACCCAGCATTAAGTGGCCAATTAAAAAAGCTTTCCTACTAGTATATTTTTATTATTTTTAAAGAATGCACTAAAGTGAATAATAGCTCAAAGCCACTTTAAACTCTAAATAAAGATTTTTTGATCCCTTTCAGTGAATGCCAAGGACATTTTTCAAAAACAGATTCCACCCCCTAGTTTTTTAGACTCAGCAACACATTTCTTATATTTTATGCATTTAAAATACCATCACCCTCTAACACTTTTATAGAAAAAGACCATTTGTCATGCAGATATAAATAAATGGTATATTATGTGTTGTAGATGCTACTTGTTGAATTATTCACGCGTTCCCTTCATCTGAACCATCCATTAGTTTTCCTGAATGTATGGAGAGCGGTGGTTGTTCAAAGGCCCGTGCAAAGCATGTCAGCTGCTAAGTGGCTCCATTTGCTCTTAACATAGAGTATAACTGAAGTCTCCAGCAGGTCCGGTCCATCCAGAAATCCACCCGCTTCGGATGTTATCCATTAAATGGACGTTATTGGCCGTTATCACTCCCATAGAATGGCTTCAGACTGTCAGCTGGTTAGTATGAGGCATAAAGCACTAAGGTTTTTTATGCAATCTGGTTAATATGAGGTGTAAAACCATAAGGTTAATCTTAGAGAAAATGACGGGCTACAATAAAGTAGACCCGATTCCAGCGGTAGGAGATTGTTGCATTCCAATGTATATGGCACTGGTAACCCACTAGGGGCACAGTTGGGACAGTCTGAAGCCATTCTATGGGACTGATAACCGCTAATAACGTCCATTTAATGGACTGATAACATCCGAACCAGCTGAGAAATCAACCCATCCCTTTAAAGAAACCCTCCCTTTGTTGAACTCCCTACACCCAACCTCTTGCGACCCTCTGAGCACGGCGATAAATCATTTGAGCCACATCCTCAACAAGTTTGAAAGCTCAAAGAGAAGAATGTTTTATAAATAATGAGAAAACACAGAATTCCTTGAATTGGTTGTTATCTCGGMTTTAAAGAAAGGCGTGTGCAGACAAACACATCGAAACAAGCAGCAACAAAGATGTGTGGTGTAAAAGATGAAGCAGATTCTCACGGACATCTGAGGAGATAAACATATAATCATGATGCAGCTCAAATAGTCGGGGCTTTCCAGTGAATCGAAACAGAGTTTGTTGGGGGTTTTTTGGCTGTTGTTTTGGGGTACGTTGATGTCAGTGTGGGAAATGAGCTAAATATGTGTTTGTTTAAAAGAAATTGTGCTTTTTCCACATTATATTTTTATTTTAGTCATTCAGCAATTGTGATTTTTATTGTGCAACCTGATTTCTGTGGGTGATTAAAGGGCTGGCTCTGGTTGCATCTATTGTCCTGAGTTGTAAAAGGGCTGTGAAATTTAAGCACAAGAGGACAAATCTTGACAACGGCACAGAGCCAAAGTTCGTGCCTGACAGAAACAGAGTGGGAACAGGAACAAAAAGAGACAAGAATGGCTCATATGGATGATTTATACTTGTGTTAAAAATCTGGCTTAAATTTCCTGTGTAAGAGTTTTTTGTGTACTTTGTTGTTACGTTTTGCTGAGCTTGTAGTGCTCTTTTGTTAGAGAAGTACATATTTTTTGATTCAGCAGAAAATGAGGTTAAAAGGGTGAAAGATCTCTGCAAAAAATTCTGAAAGTGGATTTTAAAAAGGGCCAAATAATATCCACACAAACTTGGGATTTAAAAAAAACAATTATTGCTTTTGATGAAGCAGAACAGGAATATTTGGTTGTGGACTACTTTAATTATCAGATGCTGTCAAAACTCAAATGGAATGCAATAACGGTTTTTGCCTTTGTGTTTGTGTGTATTTGTGTGTTTGTCTGTTAGCAAAATATCTCATGAATTCTTAAATGTATTCTAACAAAACTCCCCAAAATTCATCATACATTCAGTTTTAAGGTCAATCCCATTCAAGAAAGTGTTACAGTTAAATGACTTTAGGCTCACAAAATGGTCACAAGTCAGTCAGTTTTACAGATATTGAGCTAAGATTTAGTGTGGTAGTAGCTGAGACTGACTCCTCACACAGACCTCAAGCACTAAAATGTTTCACACCATTTTTAACTCAAACTTGGCTCATCTTTGTGGTAAATAAAGTAGCACAGAAYGTTAATTAGGAATCCCCAAATTATATAAATGTACATGCTCTGTTTGAATGACATTAAAAGACAGTTTAAACTTTTTATAAACACTTTATAAGGTTTAGTTTTTGTGGAGGTGTAAAAATCTGCCTGCGCCTTTTTGGACATAGTCATTTTTGACTATTTTTTGTTTTTTGAGAGCTGATTTCTCAGAATCCAAGCAACTGAATTATCTGAAAAAGATTGGGCAGCTTATCCACCTTGTACTGTGTTCACATCAAACGTGTGTTTACTGTCAAAAATGTGTCCAACGCTTCAAGTTGGACTTGGCTTGTGCACTTTGAGGTCAGACACTCATCGAAATTGCTCTAGACGCACGTCACAAAGAGTCTCTTGGTTGTTTTTCTCTGCCGGTCTCTGTGCAATGGCAGATAAAATTAGGAAAATGGCGTTGCTTCTTTTACTGAGAACGAGAGCAAAAATTAATCAATTCATAATTAATTCACCTGATAATTCAGAGGCGTTCTGAGTTTGGTGAGTTTCACCACTCCAGTAGCTGCGCTCTGACAAGCCTTGTTTTCGGCACTATTTTTGTCCCGAGACCACATTGGTCAACTGTCTCAGGTTAGTGGACATCATTCARGAGACCATCCAGTCAGAAAATGCACTATGTCACATAGCAGAGTCTCTCTGATTGGCTGATGCTTCGCATCAAGCTGCAAAAGTTCAGATTTTTCAACTCCAGGATCAAAACGCTCCGCACTAAATGCTCCGCAGCACTTCCCGACACACCTTGACGCATGTCCATCACAAACCTTGCATGTAARCCTGACGCCCCTGACAMTGAAAATGCMTTTGGTGTGAACAYAGCATTATTCCTGCGGGTGCTACTGTAGAAATGATTTTGGGAACAACTTCCTGTCAAACACCAGAAGTAACAGTAAGCTTAAACTAACCGAGATAGCGGAAGAGCACAGAGCACATCGCGGTTTGTTTGAAAGTAATTTGTGGAGAGAAGYCTCACACCTGTGACCAGTGCGACAAGAGATTTCCCAGTTTAACAGGTCTRAAGTACCATCATCGGATCCACACTGGAGAGAAACCTTACATCCTGGGCTGCCTTAATGCACGAGCTCACCTGGGCTGAAGCCCAGGGGCCTACAGCRTTGGGGGACCTATCGTTTTGAGATCATTACAGATGTATGCTGATTGGTCCAAACCAATAGTGACTTACATGGTCTGACCAATCAGACCATGTAAGCTTAAAGTGATAAAACTTGACACTGAATAGGTGATTCTGGCTTTAWATAATGTTATATTCAAAAGGGTGATATTTTAAAACTGTAGCATAGGTAATCCTGATATTATTAATGTGTGTGCAAACAGGTGATGTGATTTATTGGGTTGTGAGTGGGGGCAGGGCTGGCCTTAGATGAGGGTCACATTATACTCAAGATTGCATTATACTTTTAATAAATATGGTAATTATCACTACAACTAACTAAGCGTTTTATAGGGTTAAATTGTCATGTTTTGCCTGTCACTCAGTCTGTCTCCTGCCACGCCTCTCTTTTCCAGTATTCACCTTCATTCCCATCACCTGTTCCATGTTCCATTTAAGCTTTATCCTCTCTCCAGACCAGTGCCAGATTATGGAACGGTTTCACCTAGTAAATGTCCAGCGTCCTTGTCAAGTCCATGCCTGTTTTCACGTTTTTGACCACCTGCCTGCCTTTTGGTCTCCGACTCCTGCCTGTCTCTTTCCTGGATTTTTTTCCACCTCTGACCCTCAGCTGCCAATCTCGTTTCTCCTCTCTGGASATCGCCACTTGGTTTGTGATTTGGATTTGTTTTTGGCTCTCTGATCTCCCGGCTGTGACTCTTGACCCACTTCTGAACTACCGAACACAGCCTGACCCCACTCTCGTAACACAGATTTCTCCAAAAAACTGCACTGTTCTTACCTTCGAGGAGTCTCAACCAGCAAAAAGCAGGGTGTGCATCCCCGAGAGTCCGACGAGACGTCAACTTCCGGTTTCCAAATAAAACCTTAAAACTTGTTTTGTCTCTGCCTGTTCTGAATCCAAATTCCGAAACTTGTCATAAATATGTTTTCCAGTCAACTTGAATCAAATTAAGTCCTTCAAGCAGCTGTGGAGGAAGATTTAAGTACTTTAAAAGATTTTTTAAAAAATAAATCCAGTGGTTTATGATAGATTTTGTGAACAAACAGACACAAGTAGGCAGTTATACTATCACCCACATTTCATTGTAATAACAACATAAAGACAGTGATGGTTTTTAAAAAAGAGTCCAGTAAAGAGGTATGATGCTGGGCAGGACTTGCACTTCATCAGCGTGTTTTCATTTATATTGTACCAAACAGAAATGTCATMTGTCCAAACATGTCTAACAGTTGGCACCGTTAACAACTTATGGTATTTTAAGATAATTTGTAGAAATCGTTCACTTCCTTTGTTGGTAAATAAAAAAAGAASACAACACATTTGGCAAATGCCCAGTTCAATATTGATCAAAGGCAGCATTAYTAGATTAAGACGTTCTAATTTTTGAAAGTTGCTGAGGAAGAACTGTCCCGGTTTGACTGACTGCAGGAATATGTTATCAGTGAAGACGAGGAAGAATCTGTGCCACTGCAGACTGAAAATCACAACACTTTGCGTGTGTGTGGAACAGATAATTACATTTGCTATAAAATATTCAGTGGGTGGGTAAGCTTATAATTCACAAGTGCTTGGAGTAAAAAAAAAAGATTCAGTCYTGAAAAAACAACAAAAAAACTGTTTTTGCTTAAAAAAATGCATACTTTTTTACCCCAAAATAAACTGTCATCAGTTTTGTCTTTAAAGAACAGGTGTACTTTTTTCCTTACTGTCAACACATTTGTGTGTGTCTCTTCTCCAGCATCCTAGAAGCTTGGTTATCACCACAGGGTGCCTTTAGAGCACTCGTGCCCATCCTGGTTTATCTGTGAAGGAGGTAGATAAGAGCAGAGAGCTGCCAGGCCAATATGGATAAAGAAAATCGGGTTGAAAATGCGCCGTGGTGTGAAGGCAGAASCTTCAGCCGGCAGAGCGGCGAGTAGGAAGGACGAACTTGTGCGTGTTTGTGCAGGTGAAACAGACAAACTCGACATGCGCCAAAAGTGAGCTGCTGCCCAACACAGCGCGATCGTGAATGTGTTTCTTGGATAGGGGCCATGTTTCACCTGCCAGTGCAGAACAGGCAAACGCTTACATCRAAAGCATTTAGCGGGAAAAGAGCTTCACTCTGAGTCCAAAACTGTTGGTTSAACATGAAGGTAATCTTTTGTAAAACTGTCACATAAATCAGCATTTGACATTCTGCTGTATTTTTGGATTGAAAGAAACGAGGGGCAAAAGTATTACAGCTTTCGTCCAGGAACAGTG